CTTTCTTTTTTAAGCTCCTGCTTAGTGACTCTAGATTGGACTTGCATTCTAGTACTCTCTCTTCATAGAATAAATTAATCTGTCACCACTATCCCTCCATGCACATGCAGGGACATGTAGGGACAGTCTTAAATCCCCTCTCAAATAGATGTCTTCTGAGTGGAAGCAACTGTGTTTTAGAAACATTAAGAGATTTCCGAATTTTAAGATAACATGATTTTTAGTAACCTATGACCTTTTCAATGAAAAGCTGAACTTTTGGTAATTTAAATTTGCTTTTCAAAATGAGATAATATATATTTGCCAAATTTTAAAATAATTGATTGAACTTGGCTGCAATTGAAAACAAAAGCTAAAAATGTCCCTCAGCACATTAGATTTAAGTTTTTGCAGACTACAGACAGAAAATGATTGAAATCCATTTTCTAACAGTCTTGGTTACAAAGGTTTCTGAAGTAAATTTAAATGTAAAAATACATTTGAAAAAATTAGTAATGTCATTTAGTATTAGAAATAATATACAGAGATATTCACTTTGAAACACAAAATAATCATGATAATTATTTGTTTGTCCCCCTTGAAGTAAGAATTTCCTTGTGTATTGCAGTGTGAATTTCTATCATTCTTTTTATGGTTATCTTTAATGTCTTTTGGAGCATCTTCTTTCCATGTTCCTCTTCCTCATCACTGTTGGCTGATGAGCTAAGAATAAGTTTTAAAGGGATAGCAGTAATAATTAAAAGAGATATTTTCAGGAAGCAAATGAGTTAATTAAAAGCAAAGAATTTCAACTGAATGGAATTCTCCAGTGGAGCTGTGAATGTGGATCAACAGCCAGCCACTTGTGCTTTGTAATGCCTGCTCTAGAATATTGAATTTAACAAGCCTCAACCCCATAAAAATAATGAAACAACTTGGGATTTTATAACATCATATAATTTTACTTAGTATTTTCACATACATTTTATTAAATATACGAATAGTATAATGGGGTTATTTATAATAGTCAAAGTTCAATCTGAAATGGAAATAATTTCCCTTGGTAGTAATAACAGTTATAATAATAATTATCATAGTGATAACTGGACTTTATTGAACTCAAATGGATCAGGCATAATTTTAGTCACCATATGCCCTGCACTGAGTGTTTTAATCCTCAAAATTGCATGAAGTGGGAATGCTCTTTTAATCTTCCCATTGTACAGATGTGAAAAGTACATGTAGTTAGTTATCTAATATCCCACCTTCTAAGTAAGAGAAGAATTTCTACAAAATTTCTGGATATGTGGTCTACTGTGCCTATAACAATGTTAAAAAGAATCCCTAATTTTCAATCTGATAGAAATTTAAGTTTTATGTTTTATGCAGATCCAACTTAACTAAAACAATTGTGTCTGGAATACTGAGGACGCACTTTTGCTCTAATCATTTACAATGGCTTTACATGGTGCTTTGGTCAAGATAGCCAGTGGCAAACTCAAAGTTGTTCATAGTTTGACTGTATAAAATAATTAAAATCCATATTTTTTGTCTATTTGCCTTTGAACCATAAATATTTGTCACATGTCTTTTCATTGAGATCTTGATACATCAGTATGTTCTATAGTTATTTCCAGGATAGACATGGCTAAACAGCTTGTTTATTTCCTGTCTTTGAAAACAAATGTTTTCATGCCTACCCCTTTGATTTGGCTTTTATTTCCCTGGAAGAGATTATATTAACTCAGAGGTTGGTACAAGACTGAGATAGTAATTCAATACATTTTGTTAGTGATTTCAATTAAGATATTGGAGATGCTTACAAAATAATTTGAAAAATTATTTTTAAAATATCATTTGAAGCTAACAAGTAATGAGAAATACAAATTATGATTAAATTGATGCATGCAACATTTGCTAAGGACTTTTTGAATACTTTTGATCTGAAGAAACTTAAATTAAATTTGAACTCAAGTTTAATTTAATGAAGACATTTCTAAGTTAGTCATATCTTTATCTGAACTTTTAGAAATGTAATTTTCAGCTCTATTGACATTAAATTTTTTTTTTTTAAAAAAAACTCCAAAAGTATTTCAGTTCTATTTAAAATCAGAGACTCAAGTATCCACTCTTAATGCAATTCTGTAGTGTATGCTAAGGTATCTTTGAAATAGAAAGCATAATATATTTTACAGCAGAATTCATTTTCAGGAAACTGCACATGCTGACTGAATGAGTCCTAGAAGTATGTGCCTGGCAGGTATTTCTGTTCTTTTTCTTGTCCTGGATTACCATGTAGCATAGTAAAGGGATCCCTTCCTAAAAAGTGGGCTAAATGTAACTTTACCTGATATAATTTAGGAAACTACTGAAGAATTGTTTGTTGTGTGATATTTTATTTGTGTTCTGACAAATAAAGCTTGCCTGGAGAACCAAGGACAGAGCTAACCACTACTTAACTATAGAATCTGGGTAGTGGTGGCTCGTGCCTTTAATTCCAGCACTGTTGAGGTGGAGACAGGAAGTGATAAAGTAGAGAAGAGACAGGATCTCGGCCCCTTTGGTCAGAGGATCCAGAGAAGTAAGAAGTGCCTGGTAGCTGTTCCTCTGCTTCTCTGATCTTTCAGGTTATTATTTCAATATCTGACTCCTGTTTTTTTATTGATAAGACTAATTAGATTTATGCTTCAACTGATACTGAAGTGTATCTCATTTCATGTTCAGCTATGTAGGAACCAAATATTAATATACTGCAGAAAAACTCAACAGACAGCTTTTTTTGCACATTCAGTTCATATATGTACCTCCAGTTGACAAGAATCTTTTGTAGACATCTAATAACTCACTTTTCAAAGCAATATGTATTTTCTTATAAAAAAAGTAAGTCGGGGGAAGGAGGTGGGGGAGTGGAAGGAGGGATGAGAGGGGGATCTGTGGTTGGTATGTAAAATGAATAAAAAAATGAAAAAGGGAGATTTTGATACTTGATATATAGAGTAAAACTCAAGGCTGAATTTATGCTGTTAAAAATACTTAACTATGTAGTGTAGAATATTTGAGCATAGAAATTTCTCTTTGTTTTTCTCCGATGTAATTGGTATGCCATTATTGTTATGCAAAGTTCTACTCAATGGCATAAAGCATATGTCATCACTAGAATTATGCAAAATATGGTTTCCCAAAAGGAGTCAAAAATAAGATACTATTGTGACTGACATATGTAAAGTTATTGGGATTTTAAAATTATATCCCATGCATGTATATATTTAATTTAAATTATTTCCTATACTATCCATGTATAATTTGTTATTTTATATATCCTTTACTATATAAATATAACATCCATTATAAATGCATTTTACAGTTATTACTCATGTTAGTATATTTACCATTTTTTACTTACAATTTATATATTTACAATTTTTTATTTTTTACAATTGCATATATTGTCAATCATATGAATGTTAATAAGTGTAAAATATTCCCAATTGAATAGAAAAAAATTCTACCCTGGCATGGACCATATGGCCATGATTGCTGCCTGACAAAATTCCAGCATTTCAACATTGCACACCACACTTTTCCAGCACCTTTTAAGTTTCACTTTTAATTATTCTCACTATTTATGCTTTTCCCATTAGGAAATTTTGTGCAAGCTTTGGTAAAGGACGAGAATGTGTACAATGGCAGCCTCCTTAAACAAAATAATTCTTTGGAAAAAAATCTCTGCCATCTAGGAAACAGGAATCCTGTCCTAATTACACAAAGAATTGGAAAGTTAGAGATTTGCTAAAAACACTTGATCCCAAGGATGAAATGCCTACAATACAGATCCAGAGTCTGAGGCCATTAAGGGCAAGAGTTCAGTTAATAAATAATATGTGAAAAGAGTAAGACATGAAAATCTTCCCTTTAGGGAATGTATGAGGGGAACCGACACATACAGTAAGACTAAGACATGAAGGGACACAATTAGGGGACAGCTCAGTGCTTATCCCCTTGAGGAAGGGGCATTGCTCTTAAATTGTAGTATAATGTCTGCTGCCCCAAAGAAGTCTTTTATCATAATATTCCAGGAACATACAAAGTACAGTTGAATCCATTTCTTTACATTCAAAGATGAAAGACAATTTTACCTATTTATAGGAGATTTTGCAGTAGAAATCATGAATGATCTGGAAGATCCTCTTCCTTAGTAGGTTTTTCACTTGTCTAAATAAATGCTTAATATATTATTGTATGCTTAATATATAATAATATACATATATATTAAAACAGACAGGTGTAATTTACATTTTAGTAAAGATCTAAACTACTGTCAGCTTTACTAACAGACCATCATTCTTTCTGATATTTACTAATGTACAGAACCAAAATCCTGAAAATGATATCTGTAATATTGAAACCCATTAGTTGTCACTTCAACAGTACATTATTCACAGTCATATTCTTTATCATTTACAAATAAAAATACTGAGGTTGGTAGGTCAGATTTTTTTCATTATTGGGGGATGAGTTGTCTGAATTGTTAAAAATTTCATATTCCATTGCAGATTTCAGAAGGATGAAGTCCCATGGTTCATTAAACTATTAAATGTTGAATGTCTGTGTAAGAGCTGGCACCTTAATTGCTCAGACTTTGTTTTTTATTTATTTTAGCTTTGAGAGACATATGTCCTACTTAGGAAGATAGAAATTGTGTCATCAAACAATGATATCCAGGATGTGAAGAATTAAGTGCTGCAGCCTGAAGATGACATTACATAGGATGACATTTGGACAAGATTCTGAGCAGGGTGCTCCCTGTTACAAATGTCTTTGGCTCACAGGACTTTTTCTAGAAAACTGGACTGTTTCGATATCCACATTCCTGTTTTATTCTGCATATCTGCAAAATCAGTACCAGCCAGACTATGTGCCCTGAAATGTACCATGGCTACAATGCTTTCTGAAAAACTTCCTAAGTGAAGTAGGGAAAGTCTTTTTCTTTTTTTTCTTTTTTTTTCTTTTTTTTTTTTTCAAGACAGGGTTTCTCTGTGTAGCTTTGTGGCTTTCCTGGAACTCATTCTGTAGCCCAGGCTGGCCTCAAACGCACAGAGATCTGCCTGGCTCTGCCTCCTGAGTGCTGGGATTAAAGGGATATGCACCACCATCTGGCTTAGGGAAAGTATTTTTCTAGGGACTACACTTTGGTAAACTTCATTTTATAAATGAAAATTCTGGAACCTCTTATCTTTATAGACACTCTCCAAATAAACTGGAATTTTTATACCATGGAAGCTTGACTACATAAATTCTTAGCTTTCAAACCATCTTTATTGTTTCCCAATGTAAAATTTGTGGCTTATCATTTATGCTGCTGATCTCTTTAACAGTTACAACTGCATTCTCTGTGTCTGCTTTGTCTGCAACTTTAAATTCATGCATGGACTGTACCTTGTCACACTGCACATACTCTGCACCCTGGCACACTGCACATGCTCTTCACCTTACCACACTGCACATGCTCTGCTCCTTGCCACACAGCATGTGCTCTTTCTACAGCTTTCTGTTTAACTTTAAAACCAGTTGGCAGTGAACATATCCAGGTCTTGTTTCACAATCTCACCCAATAACTTAGTCCATTAACTTTGAATTCAGATTACTCAAAGTTTCTGAAAATGGGAAAAAAAACATAGTAGATCTTTCTGAGAATGCTAGCTGTAGTGGTCTCTTATGCAAACTTCTGACAGAACCCATATTTTCTCTGAAGCTTATTGCTGTGGAATAATGCTTTCGTATACTGGTTTAATAAAACGCTGTTTGGCCAATAGCCAGGCAGGAGGCATAGGTGGGATAAGTAGACAAGGAGAATGCTGGGAAGAGGAAGAGCACAATGAGGGGAAGCCAGCCCTGTGGCACACAGGTAAAGCCATGGAACACTTGACAACATATAGCTTAACAAAAATGGTCTGAGTTTAAGTGTAAGAGCTATTCAGTGGTAGGCCTGAGCTAATGGCCAAGCAGTTTTAATTAATATAAGCCTCTGTGTGCTTACTTGGATCTAAGCAGCTGTGGACTGGGTGGGACACAGGAAAACTTCAGCAATAGCTTATAAATATATATTATAAAAATATAAAATACTGTCTGTAACTCTAATGACACTCTGCTTTCAGGACTCTTAACATAACGGCCTACTAATCTCTCAAAGCGTTCTACGATCCCCTAACCCAAAGCTCTAAAATCTTCAACCTTCTTTCACAGGGCACTTGTAAAGAGCCATGACCATGTGATCAGACTTAGAACAGAATTGACCTCAATTCTCAGTGCCAATTTTTCTGTATGTGTTACTTTTCACATTGCGGTAACAAAATATATGGCAGAAACAGGTTAAGAAGGAAAGATTTATGGTGATGGGAGCATATATGTGACATTTCTATTGATGAGTCAAGAAGCAGAGAACTTAGGCTGAAGGAAAATCACTCAGTAACTTTTAACCATTGCCTTTATGTACTAAGCTCCATTTCCAAAATATTCCAAAACTTTCTTAAACAGTTAGCTAAGGAACAAGTGATTATGCAAATAAGCCTACAGGTGACATTTCAAATTCAAATCATAATATCTATCCCAACTATAATTAATGTGGGAGGGACAGAGTGGGATTGGTGGGAAGATGGATAGAGGAAAATAATGTAAATATAGTACTCATATATAAAATCCTCAAAAAATGAATTTAGATAAATTCCATCTCTTTTTTTCCAACTAATCTCCAGAGTGTATCCAACTCTTGCTTATTATTTCTGGATATATAATAGAGCATTTAACTGATAAATTGAAAATGACAATTATTCATAACATGTATTCTATTAATTAGTGCGATTAACTCAAAACCTTCCTGTTCACACAAATAAAAGTCATGTCCACCTACATACACTCTCAAAAATTCCTGTAAGTACTGACTATTCAATGCAGGGTAGGGAATCTTTAAGTTTCTCCATTCTCTTCTCCTCTCAACTCTTCATTCCAAGAAAGAAAGAAAATAAAGGATGAAGGGAGGAGTAAATAAAGGAAGTATTCAACAGAACTGCAAAGGATCCATTGTAAGAAAAACAAAACAGGTTTAAAATGTCTGTCTCCTTGCAAGTTTAATTATATCACATATTTCAACTTCTCTTTTTTATGTTTATTTACTTACTTATTTAAGACTGTCTCATGTAGCTCAGGTTTGCCTTGAATTTTCTATGAAGCTGATAATGAACTTGAATTTCAAATCCTTCTGCTTCTGTCTCCTAAGCACTGAGATCATGTGCTTGTGCTATCATGCTGGATTTTCAGTAGTGCTGTGCGGTGTGTGTATCAACCAAGTGGTAAGCAAGTACTCTACCGACTGAACTGATTCCCAAGCCCAGCCTTCCACAATGACTGTTTATAATACTACACAAACCTATAAATCTCTTCAGTTAATCACACTGAAAACTAAGATGGGCATGCATTTGGTCTCAACTTGAAGCCACGTTTTCTAAAACACTGTGGTAAAATAATCAGTTACAAGAAGACAAATGCTGAATGCTCTCACATGTGGAAGCTAACAAAAGAGATTTCATAGCAAAGGAGAGTACAGAACACATGCGTGTTTGGGAAAGATGACAGGAAGTAGGAGCTTCGATCATTAATGTGTTCAGGTGTAGTAAGGAGCAAGTATGATATTTAATGTTCTATGGCTTTAGCATAGTAAAGTTACTTTTTGGTTATTATAAATCTAAAAATATCAAATAGAAGGAATTGTGAGGGCTCTCAATGCAGAGGAACTGATAATGCTGGGGGTCATAGACTTGTTTATTATCTTGACCTTATGATTGTAATAAAACTATACATGCTTTTATAAAATGTATAGTTTTTTACAGTGTACTCATGAACTTTTATAACTAGTACACAACAATTAAAATAAGCATATACTTGAAAATCCTTATAATTACACAGTACAATCTTATAGTCAACTGTGTATATCCTGTGGAATCTGCTTCTGTAGTTATTGGAATAACCAGGTAGAGTCTTAGCAGATCAATAAAGCTGACACAGGCTCTTCAAATACTCCATTTCCATTAATGCACATTAGATCTCCCTATTAAACTTCCCTGAAGCTGATGGGCATGCTCAGGGATCTGTGTTAGACCATACTATCATCAAGTCTTTTTGATACATGCCTTTGACTTTAGTATTCTATTGATAAAACAGGTATCTTCAATTAAATTCATTAGTGAACCTACTATCTATAATTGGTATAGTTTATCAAGCTTAGAATTTGAGTCTAAACATTGAAATTGTGGCAGCCCTTTTCCAAGGTGGACTCCATAATCCTACTGTGGGGTAAATGAATGTGACTGTGGGTTAAAATTATTCTACCTCCAGAAAAGTAGATATAGTAAAATCTGTGCATTGAAAGACTGATTCAGAATTGTCAAGCTTCACTCAATCATGCCATTATATTTTTTCTGACTCTCTCAGTCCCAAAAATCTATGTGGAATAACATGTTTTTTATTTGAAGTGTTAAGCTATGGGTCAACTAATCAGCAATTGGTAACTGATTAAATTCATTAATCAAAAGGATGAAAGTTAAATTGTTTGGTATTTTGAGAGAAAATATATTTAAATATGTGGGATATATTACTAGATACCGATGCATTTCAAAGGAAAGGAAAACATACACTATCTTGTTGATATCTCATTTTGCCTGTTATTTTACTGTGTCTTGCATCTAAGATTATCTGGATATGACATTATCATAATGGTGTCTGACAAAAATCAAGATTTGGATTTTATATGTGCATGAATCAAAATGTGACCAGAAATAAGATTGAATTTTTGTGTTCTTGTAACAATAGTTTCCAGCCACCTCTTTGAAGACTTGTCTGGTATACCTTGATAAAAACAGCAGGGAAAACATTTGTGGCATTAGCTGGCTGTCTTAGCTTGGGTATTTATTGCTGTGAAGAGACACCATGACCTCAGCAACTCTGATAAATAAAATGTTTACTTGAGGTGGCTTGCTTATATTTTCAGAGGTTCAGTCCATTATCATCATGATGAGGAGCATGGCAGTGTATAGGCATGCGGTGCTGGAGCTATGAGTCTTACATCTTTCAGGCAAAGGAAGTCAACTGACAGTCACACTGAGGGAAGCTTGAACAAAACAGACCCCAAAGCCTGGCCCCACCATGACACACTTCCTCCAACTAGGCCATACCCACTCCAACAAAGCCACACCTCCTAATAGTGTCACTCCCTATGAGATTATGGGACCCAGTTACATTCAAACTACCACACTGGCTTCGAATTTAGGATGTCTCACCAGCAGTTATTTATATGTCCCAAAACAAACTGTGTTCTGTCAGTATTGACCACCAAAAATGGGATTTCAGCAGGGTAGTAGTGGTGCACGACTTTAATCCCAGTACTTGGGAGGCAGAGGCAAGTGGATCTCTATGAGTTTGATGCCAGCCTGGTCTACAGAGTGAATTCCAGGACAGCCAGGGCTGTTACTCAGAGAAACCATGTCTTAAAAAAGAAAACAAAATGAAAAACAAACAAAAAAGGGGGACTTCAATTAAAAGATTTTAATTTGGTTGGTGATTAGAAAAATAATTTTGAATGTCATTTTCACTTTTGAATATGATACAACCAAACATAAATTTACTTTAAACTTTTTAAACATTTTTTTTAAATCATAATATAATTACATTTCCCCCTTCCCTTTTCTCACAGTCTAGACTGGCTGAAAGCATCCACAGGCCTACCTGGTGACACTTGGTCCAAGCAGATGAAGGACACCTATAGGCCAACCTGGGTCCTCACAGTCCAGTATAGTTTAAGGCATACACAGGCCTGCCCATTGCTTTGTGGTAACAGGCATGTAGGTGCCATTATATGGTGGAGAAATAGGAGAGAAAGAGAAGCCCAGTGTTTCATATGCCATGGAAAAATCAGAACTGAATAACTGAAGATGGTGAGGAAAAGACTGATGTGGGTGGCCTGCTTGCCACCCAGGGCCAAGGTGGTATCTGGGCCCAGGCTGCTGCTAAGGGCCATGTCTATGTCTGTGGTGCTACCATAGACAGGTTCTGTGTTGACACCCATGACCAATGTTGTCACCAAAGGCTGAAAGCATGCCTGGGTTATGTTGGTATCCAAGTGCCATGCTGATGTAAATGCTGTTCTGCCACCCTGGGCCATGACATCCTGACCTGAGCTGCTGCCAAGGGCCATGTCTGGATCTGTGGCCCTATAGCAGTCAGGGTCTGTGCTGATGTCCTCGGCTTTAGAAATGACTGAAGGTTGTGTAGTTGCTCAGAGTCTGGTCAGCCACCTGAGTTCATGCTGATACATGAGAGCCATGCTGCTGCCAGGCCATTGTGATCTGAGCTGCCTGTGCTACCACCTGGGGCAATGGTGATGTCCAGACCTGAGCTGTTGCAAAGGGCCATTTCTGGGTTCACGGCCCTACTGAACCCAGGGTCAGTATTGATGTTCATGGCTCCTGTTACCACCAAAGACTGCAAATACCCTGGGTCTGGGCTATCACCTGAGGCCAGATGGTGTTTTAGGGTTATGTGGCTGTCAGGGCTGTACTGATCTTGGTGACCTGCACTGCCACTGGGACCATGGTGAAGTCTAGGTCTAATCTGATGCCAAGGGCCATGTCTGAGTCCATGGTCCCACTGCAGATGGAGTCTATGTTGATGTCCATGGCCTGTGTTACCACAGTGACCATAGATCCAGCCCCTCATGGGAGAGCTGGCCCCTCCACTCTGGAGAAATGACCCAACTCCCCCACCACTATTGTGGGAAAGCTGGACCTAATGGCATGGACTTAGAAGAGCTGACTCTGCCCCTCACCTGAGAGGGATTTTCCCAGTGGCCCAGACTGCCCAGCTCAGCTACTACCCAGGCCCATATCCTGGGTCTTGGGTTTGCCCTCCCTAACATCTGCTCCATCTATGACCTGCTAAAGTGTATGAAGGGACTGGCCCTGCAGAAAAATAGTCTCAGGAACTCCATGACTCAGGGAAACAGCCGGATATTCAAGAGGAGTTTTGGTGAGGGTCCAGTGATGATGGTGTGCCAGAGGCCAGAGGCCTTGAGCCAGACCAATGACTCATTGCAATGAACATTTCTATGTGGGGCTGATTAGAAAAAGGGTATATTATGTGACCCACTGTAGCTCCCAATGCCTCTAGGATAAATGAAGTGTTGGAGAGACAACAAACACTGAGGAGTGAGTTGTTTGTTTGTTTGTGGTTGTTGTTATTTCTTTTTACTTAATT